TCAGTCTGTAAGCCAGTGCGATAAAGTTAATCATGGAAAAGGTGAGTCAGCATGGATGTGACGTAGGCCCCGAAAGTAAGCGAAGGCCATTAGTACATTAAACAGTGCCTGTGTCTGCGTAATACATGAGTTTGCCTCCCTATATGACTCATTTAATGCCCCTTTAATAGACTCACTCTTTCCTCTGACCTTATGAGAAGTGTAACACAAACAGACTTTGAGTCATCTGTCATCCTAATTATGTCAAAGGTTGGCTTTCCACAAGTTTTGCATGTGACACGTAAACATTTTTTTAAAGAACAACAAAAAGAGGCATTATATATCCCATGATGCAGTACTGCTGTTGACCATGTGAGAGAGACTGGAGACTTCTCAGTGGTGTGACGCTCCACGTCTTTTTTGGGGTGAGTAGTTGACAAGGATTCATAACATGCAAGGATGGGTGTGTGTCTTGTGACTGAAATCCTGTCCAGGAGCCCCCCAGCTTTGTGCTCTGTGCTGCCTGGGAAGAAAAGTATTATATGCTGTGGATGAATTAGTCTCCTAATAACTGATGAATGGATCATTTGCGTAAGCTTTTCTGTCTTGTAGTCTGGATATCCAGCTAGAGGGAAGGAGACCCATCGATGAGTAGTAATACATACACATCAGTGCAATTCTGCCTCTTCTCCCTCTGCAAGGCCCTTAACCCCCAGTTCCAGGGGTGCTGCACACTGGCTGACCCTGCACTACGACCCACATGCTTGCTCTCACCTGCATATGTCTCATGGAGAGCAGGATGGGGTAGGTGAAAAGAGAATTGCCCCACAGGGACTATCAAGTATCACTATCGAATTCTCATTTCTGATCTGGAAAATAGTCACATTGAACAGGAAGTATATGGGACTACTGGGATATATACACATGCACACGCACACACATGTAATTCACCAATCAAAATACTGTATGTTTTAATGAAATCATCAATTTATCTCATATCTCAATTGGATGTCAGAAGTGTCTCTCAAAACTGCATATCTCCTACGCCTTGTTTGGAAAAAGGATAGGGCTACAGGATTCTGAGCAAAATATAAATCATGATTTTTTTTTCACTCAGAATTGAGATTGCAATTTTTGCTCCCAGTAAGCAAATAAATAAGCAATTTATTTCTCTCGATTTATTGATTCTTATATCTTGATTTCCCTCTTGTGTGACTAGGTGCGCTTGTATCTCCTGACCCCAAGCCCGGTGAGTGTGTTTGTCCCAATCCCCTTTGGAGTGTTTGTGTTTGTACAGATATCCCTGCTTCTGCACGAGTGTCTGCCTCTCCCTTCACTCCCCAGACAAACTCCCCAGTGTTTTGACCTTAGCATTCGTCTTTGACTTACATTCTCATGAAGTGTTTTGGCTACCTGTAACTGCACATTTGGGTCCCCTATTCCTGATTTGTCCCTTGACAAATTCAAACAAAAATATATGTTATCTTACTTGTCAAAATTTCCACATTGGTGCACCACTAACAATATGATCATTATTGAAATAAACTTTGCAGAATAGCAAAGGAACACTGCTGGTAAGTTACATTTACGGATATAATACGATCATTTAAATTATGACGACGTCTGTTATTTGCAAAAATTCAAGACTAATCTTAGCATCAGGGGCTGAGTAAGGCATCGGCGACGCTAGGCCTTCTTCAGTGTGGCTGATCACCAAAGAAATACCCCAAACTGTGGAATTTTACCAACAGCATCCCCACCCTGATCGATAAGTTTCTGGCACCTCATGCTTTGATTAGCATATTATTGATGTTCCATCATTTTTATTTTCTTCTTGTTTCTCTTTAAGCTCTGCAAAATAGCTCAAATGGCTAACTTAGGGGGGGCCCTACCCAAGTCAGCCTAGAGCCCCCAGGGAAGTTAGTCCGCCCCTGCACATAAATCAAGATTGCAATTCAAAAATGATGTATTGTGCAGTTTATCAGCTAATTAACCACAACTGATAGCTGTCACTTGAAACCATAAAGAAGTTTGAGTCAGATATTGCTGTCGCTAAGCTTCTTGTTTGAAAACAGTATTCATCTTTGTACCGGTTAATGTTTGCATTCATGATGGTCATTGTTGGCCATTACATTGCTACCTTTTAACAACTTAACCTCGATAGCTTGATAACATAGTTAGACAAAGCTCTGATTATATCCAGACATTTAAATTAGCTGTTAGTAACCTCCCAAGTTTGGAATATAGTGAACTGGGAGATAAACCTCAAACTAACCGTGTGCCATTGGAACACACCATAAGAAAACCATGTAAGTTGGACAATAATCCATGTGAGTCCATTTAAAACATTCAATTATTTACTAACTGCTAGGTCTCATTACATTGTTTGATTTTATTTTGTAAAGTGGTTTCAGAGAAAATGCATTTTTCATACCCCTGAAATACTGGATTTTTGGAGATATGTGTTTTTCATTGGATAGAGATGAATGATAGAATGGTGATACTTTATTGATCTACAGGTGAGCAGTCATCAAATTCCTTTTTCCTCTCTCCCATTTTGCTATATATGAGGCACATATAGGTGAGAGCAGGCCTGGGGGCCACAATGCAGGGCCAGCCAGCGTGCAGCACTGCACAGCCGTTAAGGGTTAGGGGCCACAGGACAAGATGGCAACAGCTGGCTAACAAATGGCACTGCAGCTGCTGTAAGTTCTCAGTTTTTACATAAAAATGGGGTGATGTGGTGCTTCAGTGGGTAGCTATATTGCCTCACATCTCCAAGTTTGTGCATGTGGAGCTTGCATGTTCTTTCTGTGTTACCTGGATTTCTTCAGATAATCTGATGTCCATCTGCATTCCAATTCATTTAAGCTGATTGGTGTCTCTGAATTGTCCATAGTGAATGACAATGTGTGCTTTTGTGAGCCTGACTATGATAAGCAGTTAGAAGATGAATGGATTAAAACAATGGCTCTTCACCTCACTTAAACACAACTCAACTCATTAAAAGTGTTTAATTGCATTCCCCCCACAAAAACTACACAAAAAGAAAATTAACTTTTGTGCATGCAATACTTTGACGACATCCTCATGTGGACAGGGCTGGAAACAGCAGACTAGGTTGGTCAAAGATCCTCTTGGGATTACTGGGTCTGGAATAACTTCAAACCACCAAGTTTTCTGCAGCCCCTGAGTCTGACCTGTTTACTTCACTCCAAGTGGAGGATGATACAGTTTTTTTTTTGTAAGTTTTAGATGAACTGCAATCTTTAAAACAACCAAACCTGCAAGAACAAAACAAAGTCCAATTGCCTATATTTTGTTCTTGGTTATTCCGTATAAAAATAACACACCTTTGCTGGACCTAGATACCCTACTGGATTACCATCATATCATCTTTATATCCGGATTTCTTCTGCAATCCAAAGACATGCAGTTAGGCATGTCTCAGTTACCTGTAGCGTGAGCATGTGTGTGTGTGTGTGTGTGTGGGGGGGGGGGTTAGGGGGTAGATTGATGGGTATGCTTTATATGCTAGAGCTTGCAGCTGGGGGTGCTGTAATGAGGGGTGGGTGTGGAGATGCATTAGGAAGATTCAGTGCCCCTTAAAAATTTAGATCTTAATTGGATTGGTACAGGTTGCCGGCCCAACATGCAGTAACTAGTTAATGAAATAGCGTTATGTAATGAAATTACAAAATAAACACAACTGTAATCTGTTACAGTTACTGAGACAAAATATGTAATCAAATTACAGTTACTGATCAAAATGCTAGTGATTACAAAGAGGTTACAAAAATATAAGCAGTAAAAATATGTGGTAAAAATGTAGAATATTAATTTTGTTGCTTTGCATTTTTTTATCACATAGAAATGCCACCTTTTGGCATATTTCCAAATATGCCTTGCGGGTCAGCAAAGCATTTGGGACTGTAACTTTATTGCCCAGTGTAAAACATTTGTCAGAAAAGTAATCAAATGGTACTTAAATGTAATGTTACATTACTTTGACGAAATAATCAAAATAGTTACATTACTTATTCCATTTATAAAAGCAACTTGAAAAACTATTACACTTGAAAAATAATCTTCCCAAAACTGCCAATATGATACGTTATCACTGGGCCCAAAACTTTTAGCAGCACTCCCGCAGGCGGCAGCAGGAATTTTTGATCTGATATATTATTAGAAAAGCCAATTAAGTAAAACTTTCTTCCTTCCTTAAAGATTTAAATACAATTATCTGAACACAAGTACAATTGTGCCTCATGGGTTTTTTAGGAAGATTGTAGGTGAAAATAACCATGCTGAAAGAGGGAACATTTCCATCAGTAAGTATTTGGTTTTCTGCATGACTGAAGACACAGGGCTGAATACTTGGCTGTCACTGACACCCCCTTTTGCGTGTGTAAACTAATGTATGATGACTGGAAACTACCAGCGCAGTCATCAGTGCATTAGTGTGCTAACACATGTATTATGTCTGCATTTGTGATCATTTTGTTTAGATGCAGGTGAGCCCCTTCCACCCCACCCCAATCCCCTTGTCTGTGTCATGCATTTCATTGGCCTGAAGAAACTGGTCAGCTTAGGCAAAATTTCCTTTCATTGTGGGGTGCCACTGGGATATGATCGCTGCATGGCTGCATATAACATTAATGTTAACTAATGAGTAGTCAGAAGATCACAGCTAACTACCTGGTTAGCAGAAGATGCTGCTTCTGTATCTCCTAACTAAGTAACATATTTAGTTATTTAGTTAGTATAGTGACTCTTTGTGATCAACAGGGGAGCCAGCGTAGATGTGAGGTTTGAGTGGTGGTGAACACTGCTGCTGTTCATAGGCAATTCTCACCACACATGTATAAACATAAAGCACAACTGCCCCCTTATGGTCAGATACATTATTTTGGAGAGAGTTTCCTCAGTACCTGTGTTGTCTCAGATCCCTCCTATTACACAGGAGCTGTGGTACATATTCGTATGTACAGTACCGGTTGAGTATGAAATGAAGGCAAAGCTGCTTGTAAGTATCTCCTTTTTACTTTCAACTTTCAAACACATCAAGAAAAACCAGTTATAGATTCAATTTTACAATTCGGCAACATTGTACAGCATCCTCCAACTGAAACATACTGTGCGTGTTGCAGGAGCCAGTCACTTAAAACCTTCTGAATGAAAAGACGAGGACAACTACACTGGTTTTGTGTTTGGGGGCAGGCAGTGAGGAGGTCTCCCATACCGCAGTGCAGCCACAGGGTTTAATAGGAGCAGGAAATGACATCACATAAAAGGAGGGAGAGCCGAAACCCGCCCACAGGTCCCACCATTATAAGGCTATAAATGAATTATATCCAGCAGGTTTTATGAGGACAAATGTGTTGAATAAAGGATGAACAACAGTGACATTTAGAGCTGAAGAGCATTTTGTGGAAGAGGGCCCTGTTTCCACTGAGACTGTGATGGACCTTATGTTAAGAGTCATTCCAGGCCAATCCATTCCAGGCCAAAAGTCAAACCCAGAAGTGTTCTTGTTATTGTGTTATTTGTTGCTACCGGCAGTCACTGGCAACGAAGGGAAATATATACATAGTTTAAAAAACTGTAGGTCGTAGAATGACCCCCCCCCGGCCAGGACATATTTTCAGTTGCCCCCAGGTGGCTGTAAGGTCTAAAGTTCCACAGAGAAACATGTTAATCCACTTGAGGACATGGGGGTAAAGCCAAGGCAGGTGTTCTGGGTCCCTACTGCTGGCTCCCTGGCAGAGTGAGGTTGACCAGGTGCAGCACGGGGAGGGGGTGAGCCTCTGTGTTGAACACCCAGCTATCCAATGGCAGAAGATCGTCGCTGGAGAAAAGCAGGTAGAGGTACCTGGGAGAGATGTGGGACAGTAAGGAATGAGTACTGATAGTCTGGTAGTTCAAACTAGAGGCAAGAGCAGGACCTTTCGACTGCTCTCGGCAGATATTTGACGACTCCTTCCTGCTTACCCTGCAGATTATTTTAATGGGTGCATACATATGGACCAGCCAGCTATATGCTGTTTTTCAATCAATTCATTAGTATGGTCATTTTTAAGGAGGGTGTTTTGTGACAGTATTCAATAAATAAATATAACATTAAAATAACTATAATTTATAATTTAAATGGTCATATAGATGATTATTTATAAATATGAAATTTAAACGATTACCAGCAACCATTACAAAGTCACCCATCAAACTCAGTGGGTGGGGTATAAGAACATAAGAACATAAGAA